ATGTCAAGAGATTTAGTCTACGAAAGGGTTAAATTTCGGGGATTAAAATTAGATGTAAAGGGTTGAATACATCTTGCTTTTTCTTCAAATTGTCTCTTTCAATTTTAAAATTAAAAAAACGTTCATGATAGTTTTAACATTTTGAAGTATTTTTTCTTTTGGCGAAAATGTTTGAATTAATTTAGACCATTTTTTTTAAAAGCGAGTTTTAACGGTATTTTTTGGATTTAAAATGAATGTTCTGCATTTTGTTGAAGAAAGCTACAATTTCTCCTAAATATACACTTTCTAAAAGTTGGGTAAAACTGATTGGTGATAGAACTAAATTACCTTAATTACCTACAAGACATTTTTTCTTTCTGAATCACGTATCCCTAGCCTCCCTCCCCCTTCGCCCCCACCCCATGATGAAAAATAAACAGTTTCTCAAGTTTTCTTAAATATTTTGATGTTTGATGTTAGAAATGATTATGCTCTATTTCATTGTGCCAGTTTTTCATAACATTTGGTCAGACAGGGGGCTAACAAAAATTCCAGGTAATTCTTAATTTTGTTTCTCTTTTTAATGTTTTATTTTTAGTCAAAGTTACATTATACTGTCCTGATAGATTTATCTGAACTAAGTTAGATATCTATTCCAGTTTCATACCAAATGATTTTATATTGTAGTTTTTGTTATAGCTTACCACATTGCATCCACTTATAAAAATCCTTAATTTGGGACACCCTGCATACAGAGTTTAAAATGTGCCTTCTGCCTTATAAATAAATATGACAAGAATGAATGTTTACTAACAGATAAATACAAAATCTAGAAAATCAGGGAAACGTGAAATCCGTATAAAAGGATTCTAGCAAGTCATTGATTTCACAAATCTACCAAAATTATCTATTTACCGTACACTAGGCTTGCGCGGGACTACGATCGGACCAAATTTTGTCGAAAACGCACAGAAAAAATTATCTAAATCGCTTTTAAATTTTGTTAGAATTGACTTGATATTTTTATTTAAAACTTGAAAACTTCTCAAGCCTAATATCAAGAATTGCCTAATTTTATCCTAGATAAGGAGATATAAGCTTCTTGAAGTGTAAAAACCTCACAACTCCCTGGTTCTCCCTCCCCATATCTTACTTCAGTTTGGTCGTATTTCTATCATCATCAATTGAAAATAACCTACTTTCAGTAAAAATCATCATTCCTAAACTTTATAGGAATTGAGCCTTTGTCACAAATTCTGATTTTCTAATCTTCATGAAACCTAATGTCATACTCCTTAATATTTCAAATAATGATGATTTCTTTTAGATCAAATAATTTAACTTTGAAATAAAGGTTTACAACATCAGATTGCAGAGATATAGAGATTAGAACATTTGAGTTTGTGTAGCCAGAGACTCAAATACATCCTTTAATGAATAATAAAAAAAAAATCATTTTATAGATAAAAAAGATAATGTTAAAAATGTTGTAAACTATGATAGAGAGAACAGGAAGTTTCTTATTTCTAGTAAAATGTATGCAACATCAGTGAGCCTCATAAAACTGTGGAATAGGAAGACGACTTTCAGATTTACATACAGTTTACTGTACTTGAAACACTGCAATTGTGCAGTGTTAACAGATCCATATTACTAAAGTAATTGTTTTTGAAGCCACTGGTAAAACCATTTACTTTTCATTAATTTCTATTACACATAATATTGTTTGATTGTCGTCTTCCTATTCCACAGTTTTAAAGGTTTCACTGTAGTTTCAATAAATCTCATAAAACCATGCATACCATTCTTGATTATTTAAATATTTGAGATTATGTTATTGGATTTAATCAGATAGATAGATAGATACCCACCCAGATAGACAGATACAAGGATTCCTGGCCAAATTGAAAATTGAGCTGATCATTAGGTTTGCATAAATTATTCTATCAGAGTTGAGAAATAAAAGGAATATACACAAGATGAGAATGGGAAAAATATTGAAGAATAAAGTTGTAATCCACCGAATTTGAATTGTAAGGTCGTGGCATATTCGATTCACAACGGTACCCTGTCAATCATAGATAACAATGAGAAAGATATCGCTGGTTTTCTATTTTAAAAAGAGAAAATTATTTCAATTTCCTGTTCCGTATTTTCAGTTTTATAGGAAAAAAACCTGAATTTGATTAATTTTTCGATAAAACAACCAGGATTTTCTTGTGTCACTCAAAATTACGTCGTCCAGCTCTTTAAGACTCATTTACGCAAAGCATTCGTAAAAATCGTAAATTCACGAACATATATAAAGTATAACAGACAAATTAACTGAAAGAGTTGGTGTATACCCATCCATCCTTCAGCAGACATATTGACGTTTTAATTCTATTCAAGTCAAGATTTATCACCTGAACACATTTTTGGGAGAATTCAACACCTTCTGCACAAATTAAACATTTTTCAAGTAAGTTAATAATTGGTAGGAGAAGAATTAGAAAATAAGTAGGTGGTGTACACCCAGCGTGAATTAGTGGATTTTAACACATTTTTATATCAAACCTTATATTTTATACGATATACATTATTTTAGAAGGAATGTTACAAATTATCGATAAAGTGTCATGTCCTTTTCACAACAGTACTCCAAAACTTTTGTCTATAATCAAATCTAATCCATGCTTTCTTTTTGAAATATCATTATTTAAATTGTGGTTTATCTAAAAGACAAGTTACTTGCTCTGAATTCACCTTTTTTCAAGCGTGAACAAATGTTGACATGTTTCATTATTTAGACTCAGGGTCATTTGAAAATACGACAAGTTTAATCGTAGACTAAATGCATTTTATTGAAATTGTGAACAAGAATTTTAGTTTTTGATGATACGCCACATAAATTAGATAAAATAATTATTTCTGTCAATTTTTAGTTTAGAAAGTTATTTGAAAATATATCCATGGATAGATTAGCTCCGAACTTCTAGCCATAAATTAGTATAATGATTTAACCCTTACACGAGAACAAATGCGCGTAGTCTTGAGAACAAATGCGCGTAATCTGATTTACATAAAATCTGCATCCGATGAACGCCATTTAAATTTTCTTACACAGGGCAAAACATTGTAAAATATATCTTTTGAAAATCAAAAGTTATAAAATGAACAAAACAGCCTGTAAATTAAGTTTTTTTACAGCCTCCCTAATTCTATGAATAATTAAGGTTTTTTTTGTAAAAGGGTTTAAAACTACTCTATTGTTTGGGCATTTCTTTAATCCCTGTTATTTAACAAATTTAAAACGAAAAAAACGTATAATCTGAGCAGTGGCGGTTTTACTTCCTATTAAAACAGATCGTGAAATATAACTTTTATTTAGGATATGCAAAAACAGTATTTTCAAGATAATCTAAATAGCATAAAAGTAAAAAAAGAATTTTTCTAAATTAAAAACAATTTTTGAATTTTTTTGTCAAATTTAAATACAATTTGAAATTATTCTATTTTCAATGGTAATATCAGAATTGTAATTGAACTTATTTAAATCGGAGAATTTATTGGGTGTTGTTTTGCATATAAAGTAAGTAGGAGTTTAACTTAACGAGTTGTCGAAGTGAGCTGGACTTATATTGGTGTTTTAACAGTGGTCTGGGGGTATATTGTGTAAATACCTGAATATTAGGTGATTAAGGAGGGGGAGGGGGGTTATGCGGAGAAGAATAGTTTTGCAACTAAAATGTGCAAAAACAAAAATAATATGCAAAATTTTCAAACCTTAGTGTGCAAAAGTTGTTTAAAATGTGTTTGCAAAAAACGTATACGCAATATGTATTACTTTGTCATCGATTTCTAAAGAGAATATAACAAAAAAACAGTAAAAATTTTGATAAAGCATTTTAACCAAATTTTGAAATTATTATTTAATCCAATGAATAACTTTTTTAGAACTATGTATTAGAGTCCGGTATCACTTTACAAACTATGAAAAATTTATCCATTTTAACGTAAACATTATTTCGTTTTCTCGTTCAACAAAAGTCCCATCCCACCCCCCAATATCAATATTTATGTATATGTATAATGTATATTCTATGGTCCCCCGGAGTGCTACACAAATCCTACCAAAATCTCCAGAAAATCTTTTATCTATGATGATTCTCATTAGGGGGCGATTAACTACTACTTTAAATGCCAAAATTCATTTTTGTTAAAAGATACAAATCTTTTTATGCAATCTAAAAATAATCAATCATATTTTGTACAGGAGAGAAATCGGTATTTTAAAGATAAGCAATTTTACAAATACTATCTTTAGAATAAAGCAAATTTCCTTAAAGGTGAAATTGTTTTGATTAAACCCCCTGTATGCTAGTTTTGACGCCCCTATGAATTTGATTCTGAATAACTTGATAATTGATTAGATTTTCTAGCTTGAGGAACTTGGAACTAATTAATTCAAATTTTAGAAAATTATTCATTTCAATTCAGATGGATTGTGTATTAGTAGACCTAGTTGGATAGATAGTGATAATCTATAAATTCGGAGAAATCATGGCGCTGCATGCCACATCTCTTCTTGTTTTTCTTCTCATGTGCTGTCGGGGCTATAAAGAAGTCAGCAACCCCACTTTATAACCCCCGAGTATGGATCGGAAGGAAAATAATGTGGTCACAATATAGGGATATCTATATAAAGTAGAAATCATATTTAAAAGGAACTGTAGTCGTAATTTTAAATGACTCTCCATTAATAAAGTCAAATGTTCGATTCACAATGGTACTGGAAAAAGTTTTGTCTGATCAAGAGTTATAGAGTTTATTAAGTTCAACTTTTAACACTTAAATTATGTCCAATTGTGTTTTCTCTACACGAGTTACTTCCACAGTTCTAGATAGAATCAGAATTAAAAAAATTTAAGGAAAAAAACGGTATCTTCTAAATTATTGATCAAATACATTTTTTAAATGGAGGATCACTTGAAATTAAAATGACAGTCCCTGTAATTAGAATGTTTGTTATCAAAGTGTGTGGTAAGGAGTATCATCTAGTTTAATTACAGCTGTCAGGTGATATCAAATAATAAAACTTTAATCAATAAAATGTTTTTTTTTTACATTTTTAACAAAATACGTGAGCCAGTTTTTTCAAGGACAGTTTGAATACTGCCAATAATCACGCAGAACTCACAAGACAAAATTATACAATGGATAACATCATTTTTAGCTCAGAAATCTAAAATTTAATTTAAAGAAAATGTAAAGGAAAGCTTCTTAACACTATCACGATTGGTTAGGGGTGGGGGGTGTTTTTAATGTAAATATTTAGAATAAGAGGTCCCTTTAATTAAAATATTTAGAATAAGATATCCCTTTAATTAAAATATTTAGAATAAGATGTCCCTTTAATTAAAATATTCAGAATAAGATGTCACTTTAATTAAAATATTTAGAATAAGATGTCCCTTAAATAAAAACATTTAAAATAAGATGTCCCTTTATGAAAATATTTAGAATAAGATGTCCCTTTATAAAAATATTTAGAATGGGAAAGACGATAGTGGTGATAGAAAGATGGTATATCCTCTCAATCTTCTCAATCATGTAAATAAGAATATTTACTTAAACTGATCAATCTGAATAATCTGAATAATATTAAGAATGAAGGTGACTAATTTTGTAGTGAACCTCAAAAGCAGAATCACAACAAAAAATGTAAAAGATCTAATCTCTGATGTAAAAGATCTAATCCCTGATATAAAAGATCTAATCTCTGATGTGAAAGATCTAATCTCTAATTTAAAAGATCTAATCTCTAATGAAAAAGATCTCATCTCTGATGTAAAAGATCTAATCTCTAATGTAAAAGATCTAATCTAAAGATCTAATCTCTGATGTAAAAGATCTAATCTCTAATGTAAAAGATCTAATCTCTAATGTAAAATATCTAATCTCTAATGTAAAAGATCTAATCCCTGATATAAAAGATCTAATCTCTGATGTAAAAGATCTAATCTCTAATTTAAAAGATCTAATCTCTGATGTAAAAGATCTAATCTCTAATGTAAAAGATCTAATCCCTGATATAAAAGATCTAATCTCTGATGTAAAAGATCTAATCGCTAATGTAAAGATCTAATCTCTGATTGCAAATATTTAATCTCCGATGTAAAGACACAGAATTTTTCTAGCTTGAGGCTTTTTATTCCTGACAAATTTACTCTATTTTGTCTCACTTTGCTAAAAGAACCCAATCAAAGAAAACAAACACCGTTATATACATGGAGAGATTAACGACCTAGTTCCTTTATAGGTAGATGTTGTTAATCGCGTTGAATAGGTTTTAGAAAAAAAATTGTAAACTTTCATGATTTCAAAACTGTTTTTTGATAAATTTTGCTTTAATTAAATCTTTATCATAAAAAAAATCTAAAAATTGAAAAACGATTCAAAAACTATCATTACAAATTGATAGCATTTGCATAATTTTTGGGTCGTTTTTGGATCTTTTTGGGTTTTTTTGGATCGTATTTGGATCGTTTTTGGCTCGTTTTTGGATCGTTTTTTTGCATTCATCTTCTGCCAGAGTCAAAATTTGACATATTGTAAGAAAATAAATGTAATAACAAAGGAACTGAGTTTTTGCCACAAATTATGATTTTACAATCGCCATATCTTTTCAACCGGATGGTGCAAACCTTTGATATTTCAAACTATCATTATTTGATCTAAAATGATTCATAGTTTGAAATATCTAAGGTCTCCGACATTCAAATGTAAAGATATAGGGATAAGAAAATCAGAGTTTGTGACCAAAACTCAATTCCTTTAGAAAACATTTTCTATTCTTACATTATGCCAAATATTGACCCTGGCAGAAAACTGACCAAAAACTAACAAACTGTACTGTACTGTACTGTACATAGGACAATGTTCCAATGTGCTGTATGGAACACCTGGGGTCCTGTAGAACCTGTCGCATTGGTAGCTTTCCCATCATGGACTGATTCAACAATAGGTTTAACTCATCTTTTTCATGGGTTAAAGGCACTGGTTACAAATTTCCCATCATGGACTGATTCAACAATAGGTTTAACTCATCTTTTTCAAGGGTTAAAGGCACTGGTTACAAATTTCCCATCAAGGACTGATTCAACAATAGGTTTAACTCATCTTTTTCATGAGTTAAAGGCACTGGTTACAAATTTCCCATCATGGACTGATTCAACAATAGGTTTAACTCATCTTTTTCATGGGTTAAAGGCACTGGTTACAAATTTCCCATCATGGACTGATTCAACAATAGGTTTAACTCATCTTTTTCATGGGTTAAAGGCACTGGTTTCAAATTTCCCATCATGGACTGATTCAACAATAAGTTTAACTCATCTTTTTCATGGGTTAAAGGCACTGGTTACAAATTTCCCATCATGGACTGATTCAACAATAGGTTTAACTCATCTTTTTCAAGGGTTAAAGGCACTGGTTACAAATTTGAATTTTCAACCACAAAAATCGCTTGATCTCGATATCCCCTATTGGCACTATTAGTTTGAGAATATAAAATAAAAACTAGTCATTCCATTAACTTCGTTTTAGTCTTTCCTCCACTAATCAAAGCTCACTTCAACCCCTGATCAATCCATTTTGGATACATTTGAATTTGAGAGTTAATGCTCGATCCATCAATTAAAGCTTTCCTTGCAGGGTATGACCACCACGGGATATTAAATGAGGAATTATGTTTATCCGTAGGTCTCCATAAGATGGAGATCATGCTTGATTCCGAAATCCAAAGGAAAAGTTCTGACTGCTGTTTTTGTTTCAGGATTTTTTGCGAACTGGGGAAATATTGGAATGTACATTGGGTTCTTACCCTTTATGATTCTACTACAGAGGAGTTTAAGATACTCAGTTCTTATTTCAGGACTACTGGTGGCCATTGGAGCTTCAATAAAATGCATAGGCAAAGATGATATTTAAACAGAATCTAATTCCTTTGTGCGATGTGGAAATTCTAAAGATTCTGAATTTCCCAAATTTTAACATTTTTAATTGTTTCACTTTCTATTTTCTTCTTCCCTCTCTTTTCTCATTTTTTTCATTTCACATTTACCTTGTTCTTCCTTTTTCACATTTACCTTGTTCTTCCTTTTTCACATTTACCTTGTTCTTCCTTTTTCACAATTACCTTGTTCTTCCTGTTTCTTGTTTTTTATTTCCTTGTTCTTTTAATTTTACTTTCTTCATTTCTTTCTTTTTACCTTTTTTGTCTTATAAACGTTTTTACATTTTTATTAATTGATACATAAGCCAATCATATTGCAACTTATTTAAACTTTAAAGGAAACTAATTGTCGTGCCAAATTGAAAAGTTTGTCAACCCCGTAGAATTGTTGTTATTTTAAGGTTAGGTGCACATTGATCGCATACAAATATATATCAGAGACGGAATTTAAAGAATTTGAGTCGCGGTTTAAATCCGCTAAAACCCGGTTTAAATTAAGCGCCGGCATAAATCTGGAAACATTTTATACAATTTTAAGTGGAACCAGCAATATTTAAACCGCGGCTTAAATTTAAACCGCCGCTCAAATTCTTTAAATTCGGCCTCTGAACAACTTGTCTTTTCCTGAAACTTTTACAGATAAAATTAAAATTACACTTTTTTTACGTCGCTTAATGCTTATGTTTTTTTTTGATAATCTATTTGTGAAAATATTTCAGGTTGGTTTCATATGAAGGAGAATATATTTACAATAATTTGTCATATTGCAGCATTTCTCAACTCACTTGCAGGAAATCATTTTTTTAGAAAACAAACTTGTTAAAAAATATTTATTTTATTTGTTCAAATGTAATTAACCCGAATAAGACAGGAGATCTTTTGATAACCATAGCCTTATTTGGAGGAGGAGAAACCCAACATTTTGTGCCCTCTCTCTCCCTAGAACTTGAAAATGAAAAATTTGATTTTTAACAAAAATATACATGAGGGACATAATTCTACATGTTTGAAGAACTCTACAGAATGTAAATTTAACATTGTTTGTTGAAATTGGCTATTTGGTTAAAATGAAGAAAACATTTATTTTTAAAGAAAAACAGAAGATTCTTGAAAAAAGATTTCCAGGAATTGTTTTATGTTCAGCTCCTCCTCTTCTTTCAGCAGTATGGTTTCCACCAGAGGTATTGTTTCTAATTAAAGGAATTGGAAACGTAATTTTTATTGACTTTTTAGAGATAGCCAAGTTTGATTCAAAACAGCATTCTTTATCGTTTTTTATCTTGAGAAGATAAATTCTCTTATTTTTTTTTTTATTGCATAAATCAATAAGTCACTTTCACAGAAATTTCCAATAGAAAATAATCAATTTTTGGATAGAAAAATGAATATAAAAAATTTAAGGATTTTCCATTTGATATATTTCCCTTTTCAAATTAAGGATCCTTTGAAGTTGCGGCAAAAACTCCTAAATCAGCGAAAGAAACTTTGACTGACTTTAAGTTTAAAGAACTATACAAAGGAATTGAGTATTTACAACAAACTTAAATTTTCTAACCCCTTTATCTTTGAAAACTGATGGTGTAAACTTTTGATGTTTAAAATTTAGACTATTTGATCTACCAGAATTAAAAGTTTGAAATATCAAAGATTTGGGAAAACGGGTGTTAAGTTATAATAATTAGAAAATCTGAGTCTGTGGCAAGAACTCAATTACTTTCCTTGAAAAAAATGCTGATAGAAAAACTTTCTCTGTTTAATAAAAAAGTAAACTTTTTATATATCTAATATGCTCATAAATTATATAGGTCACTTTGGATTTAACATTCCCCTTGTTAAACAAATATGCAAAAACTTTGATTTTAAAGTTAATAAATGAATAAAGTCTTTGCCCCAAACTTTTATTTTCTAATTTCTTTATCTTTGAAACCAATGTCAGGTTATGTCAGGTTGTCAAGATAAAGGAATTAGAAAAATCGAGTGTGTGGCAAAGACTCATTTCCATTAGGAGCGGGTGACTGCCACATGTATAGGACAGACATTAAACGGCCTGGGAGGCGGTGTCAGTTACTTTATAGCAAACATATTTGTCAGTCAAAACATTGATAATCAAACAGGTAAACAAACAAATCAAATATTTTTTGGATTATTTGTGGAGATGAATATTTTCTTTAATTTTGATTTTGATATCTACATACAATACTTTTGGTGTTTTTAAGAATTCCTTTGAAAATAAAATGAAAATATCACATGCTAACATTTTTAAGGCTAGAATTTTTCATCTAAGGCACTACGGGGGTTGGGGTGGGGGGATTGTAATTCATCCCTCCGCCTAAAAATAATTCCTGAATGGGATAGATTTTTATAAAACATACTGGCAAGGGCGTATACAGTATTAAATCTAGGTGGGCCAAAAAAGTTTTTTGACCCCCCCCCCTTAATAGCTCCTAAGGGGGGGGGGCAAAGTAAAGAATTTCAAAAAGGAAGTTACAATATAAAAGAATGGATACATATTTTCAATATCAGACAATTTTCTAAAATGAATACCATAACCCATAACTTTGATAATACTTAAATCTGTGCAGATTTAATGTAACAGAATTCGTAGTTTTAAATTTTAAAGGTTTAAGGTACCATTAGATTGCAAAGATAAAGGGACTTGACAATTTGAGTTAATAGCAAAAACTCAATTCTTTTAAATTTTCAGATATTTCTGATAAACAAGTTGAATACAGAAAGGAGCTGAATGACTATATTTGGGTTCTGGCAGGACCCACCATTGCTCTTTTATTTTTTACTCTCCTTCATTTCCCGAGTAAGCCCTCAACTCCTCCGAGTCTAAGCTCACAGGATGAGAGGCTTGCAATGCTCCCTGGATTAGTTCTGATGATCAAAAATAAAAGCTTTTTGCTCCTGCTTTTGGCGTATTCCATAAGTCAGGGGGTTTCTGGTATGTATGGAGCTATCATGGCAGCTAATCTTAAAACATTCAGAGTCAATGGACAATACCTTAGGTACACTTTTAAATATTTACCCCCTCCCCCTTTTCTTTTTGTAAACCTAGAAGTCTGGGTGTTACTCCCCCCCCTTTCCACTGAAAAAAATGGATTCAATAACTAAAAAATCAAAAAATATCTACATTTTTTCTTTTCTTTATATATATATATATAAATTAATGTCTTCGCAATAGATGGTTAAGTGGCTCTACCAAATTTGCTTATATTTATTAAGGAACCCAATGGGTACCCCGGGGATTGCAAAACAATGAAATTACAATTGCCATCATATTTGTATACTATGTTCGGGAAGAACTATGAAATACTAGCTGAAGGGCTCGGCATTGCCAGTGGAAAAAAAATGGAAAACAAATTTTGAAAAAAAATATTGTAAAACAAAAATTTGAGAAAAAAATTCAGCCAAATCGGTTCAGACGTTTGGCCGGCTATACGCAACATATATATATATATACGAATTTCTTGTTTTATTATATAGATAAAATAAACTTGGGCAACGCATACTTATACATACTTATACATACTTGTACAGATACAGGGTGTTCTCAGTCGTCAGTTCTTATTAATTCTAATTCTATTTTGTAAACGAGAGAGTGCAAGTTATTTTTTGCAGTGAAACCTATATTGGCACACTGGGTGTAACAACATCTGTTGTATCAACATTTGGAGGGCTCATTGCTGCAAGATTAACAGATAAAATTCAGGAATTATAATATGTTAAAAAGAAAATCATCCAAAACTCTTTTTTCCTAATCCATCTTTCTTCTCCGATCAAAGAGTAAAATTTTCAAATAGATTTACAGCGTCAGGTTGCAACTAAAAGATATTAGAAAATTGGAGTTAAAAGCAGTTTTTAACTCCCATTGTTAAAACAATTTTTGTATAAATATTTTCGTTTAGGGGCACATGAAGGTTTCAATACTTGGTCTGCTTGTGATTGCAACTTTAATCTATACTATACTATCATTACTATTCCTAAAGGTAATAGTAAATCAAATTCAAATACTATATAATTGTATTCTTTATACTTTTCTAAGCCAACCCATACGGAATTTACAGGAACTAAAACATTATTTCAAGGGACCCCCCTCCGCCCCTATATTTTCAAAGTGGTAACACGATTGCCAACTTTGCTCATTTTGGAATCTGATTATTTCTAACTATGGTTTCTCTACTATTGTTACTTGCAAATTTCTACTGCGAGAAAACAAAAAAGAATTATTAGAATTAATACCTTTTAAACCAAGAAAACAAAAAGATCTTCCACATTATTAATAAGATATAGGTTTCTAATGCTACAATTGTGAACCGGTCATTATACTATCTTAACGTAAAATAAAAATATTATTTTTGTAGGTATTTGAGCTTCCTAGTTTCCTAAGTCTAGAAGTATCTATATTTGCCCTCCTAGTTCTAGGAAACGGATTCTGCCAGAGTTCATGCCCCCTTTTTACAGGCATTTTATACTTAAATAAATATTATTATTATTATTATTATTATTATTATTATTATTATTATTATTATTATTATTATTATTATTATTATTATTACTATTATTATTATTATTATTATTATAATTATTATCATGATTGTTGCATAACATAGCAGCTAGTTTTAAACAATCCTCTAATGGATAAATAATCAAAGTTTTTCTGATAAAAAGTAATTGATTTCTTGTCACGCACCTCTGACTCTTTAGTAAACGTAAATTCAACCTAATGTCTGACTGCGTCAACTTTGTTGCACCGGCTAGTCCTATTGAGTGTCTGCTTTATTTACCCAATGTTCTGGCGATTCAGTACAAACTGGGACCGGAAAGGTTGACCCGGCTCGGAAATTCAAATGTACTACGGCTGCCAGTGTTGTTTTAATATGGAAAAAAATATTTTTCTAGAACTATGTGCTGAGATATGTTTTCCTGCCAGTGAACTGTTGGTTGGAGGAGCTATATTTTTAGGGTATGGATGGGAATAAAAATGAATGTGAGGGGGGGGGGTAATTTTTTCTTATTTAGCCAAAGGAACTGATTACTCGGGTTATACTCTAATATTCTAACCGCTTTACAGCTTTGCAATCCAGTGTATTGAATCACTAACAGAATTTATAATTTCACATAAGAAATATCTATGACATCAAGTTGCAAAGATAAAAGAATAAAAATTATAATTTGAAGAAAGTTTACAGTTACTTTTAATCAATAATTATTTTAATTTTGTTTTAATTCTAGATTTGGTACTGTGTCTTTCATCTTCCTCTCAGTTTTCAGGTATTATGAATATTAAATTCGAACTAAAGCCTTGGCACAAACTCAGTTTTTCAAAATCCTATATATTGGCGAGCTGCTACATTTATTTTAAACTTTGGCTATTTGTTCCAGCAAAATTTATTGTTTGAAATATCAAAAATTTGAAGCATTAGGATGAGAGGTAAGTGATCAGTTACATTTCCTCAAAAATAAACGTAAAACTTAGGAATAAAAAATATTTTAGTATTCCTGGAATTGGAATTTATTGGTTGAATTTTGTTCTTCCAGCCAGGTAGGAGAATAATAAAATTTAGCTGCAAGGTTTACGAAAAATATAATGATATTATCCTATTACACGCACCTCTGACCCATTACTAAAAGTAAATTCAACCTAATGTCTGACCACGTCAACCTTGTTGCACAGGCTATTCCTATTGAGTGTCAACTTTATTTACCCAATGTCCGGGCGATACAGTACAAACTGGGACTGGAAAGGTTGACCCGGCTCGGAAATTAAAATGTACTACGGCTGCCTGTGATAAAGTCATAGCTAGATATAAATTTGACAAACATTTTTTCATATTTATCAAACCTTAAAATGTTCCCTTATTTGTTTTGGACACCAATGGTTTATTTTTAAAATCTTCTACTTTCTGTTCAGTTCGTTTCTTCCTGTTTTGCTGGTTCTCCTGGTTAAGGGATCATATCCTCGGCTTCAAATTGATCTTAATGGAAAAATATAAGTTTCTCATATTTTTATGTTTATTAGTATATTATGCACCAAAGGAATTGAGTCTTTGTTACAAACTCTGATTTGCTAATACCTATATATTTTCCTCTTGATGGTGTAAACCTTTGATATTTCAAACTTAGATTTTTTTATCTAACAGAATTCATAGTTTAAATTATATCTAAGGTCTACGGCATTGGGTTACAAAGATATAGAGATTAGAAAATCATAGTTTGTGACAAAGACTCAATTCCTTTATTTAGACTTCATCCATCTTACGATCCCCTGCAGCTGTACTAATGTCCTTTTTAACTAAATCATTAAACTAAACACAAACTTTTAAGCATTTCCACAAGTTCATTTAAAAAATTTTCTTTTTTGTGAGAAACCCAACTTTAAGATTTCCTTAAATATATCTAGGAATGCGATAAGTGTTGAAAGACTAGAAAACAAGAACAACACATTTAGTTTTTCATGCTTACCCTCTTTTTGTTCTTCCAAAAGTTGTAAAAACCCATTTCCCATTCCCCTAACTAGCGCTCCCTCTCCCCCAACCATCGCCCCTTTGATAATTTTCCAAAGTAGCATTAAAGTTACCCCTTTTAGACTAAGGTAGGTGTTGATAAAGTACATTTCTAGATAATGAAACCCCTCTACAGGGGTTTTCCGACGGATAAAAATTGAAAATCCCCCAATTATCTCGAAAAAAGCGGGAAAATAAATTATGTGTATTATTTGAATTATTGCCCAGGGCGTTCGGACCCAATTTAGAATAATCCTCGTATATACAGAAGTTGTAATTGCACCCTTAAACACGCCTCCAATAAATTCAGAGATACATACATTCATAACTAAATGTAGAAAATAAAAGATGAAAGGTTATTTTCAAACCGAAATAATCCTAAGTTCAACTAAATTTAAAGTCAATTATTTCGGCTACAATCGGTTTCCCAGTACATACATTTTAAATAAACGATTAAAAATAGCTTTAAAGTTTTTTTCGTAGATATCGTTCAGGATTATCTTTATGCACAAATATTGACCTACGAGTTGCTAAGCTCAAGTTCTTAAAAAAAGGAAAAAGTTATGTGATCAAAATATCACGTTTTAAAATAAATTGCTAAAAGTAGAGCTACCGTTTTTCTGGTCCTGGAGAGTTGAGACTGAAACTTTTTGTTGGAATAGCGCTAAACCATATCTAATAAACTCAAGATACGCAGATTATCTTTTAGATGTTATTCTAACAATACATTCTTATCAAATGATACAAAGAACAGGAAAAATTAAGGTGTACAATGACATAGAATAAACCGACTTAATGCATTTAAAAAAAAAAACATTACAAGTTTTGGCCTCTTGAGTCCCGGAGTCCTGGAGATAAATGGTTGTATTTGTATTGTATTTGGTTAAAGGTAGTTGATACTCTAGGGTTTGCTGACACAGTCCTTCCAGGAGGCAGATTTATGTACTTAATATACATATACATACATACAGTAGGATACAGGGTGTACTTAATATACATATACATATACATACATACAGTAGGGTACAGGGTGTAGTTAATATACATATACATATACATACATACAGTAGGATACAGGGTGTAGTTAATATATATACATATACTTACATACAGTAGGGTACAGGGTGTAGTTAATATACATATACATATACATATATACAGTAGGGTACAGGGTGTACTTAATATACATATACATATACATACATACAGTAGAGTACAGGGTGTAGTTAATATAAACTCTTATACATATACTGGGTGTAGTTACTATATATAAATATACATACATACAGTAGGGTACGGGGTGTAGTTAATATACATATACATATACATAAATACAGTAGGATACAGGGTGTAGTTAATATATATATACATATACATACATACAGTAGGGTACAGGGTGTAGTAAATATACATATACATATACATATATACATTAGGGTACAGGGTGTACTTATTATACATATACATATATATACATACAGTAGAGTACAGGGTGTAGTTAATATAAACTCTTATACATATACAGGGTGTACTCAATATACATACAGTAGGATACAAGGTGTAGTTAATATATATTTTTATACAGATGCACGGTGTACTCAATATACATACTTATACAGATACAGGGTGTACTCAATATACATACTTATACAGATACAGGGTGTACTCAATATACATACTTATACAGATACAGGGTGTACTAAATATACATAAACATACATACAGTAGGATACAGGGTTTAGTTAATATATATTCTGATACAGATACGCGGTTTACTCAAAATACATACGGTAGGATACAGGGTGTACTCAATATACATATACATACACATACAGTAGGATACAGGGTGTAGTTAATATATATTCTTATACAGATACACGGTGTACTCAAAATACATACAGAAGGATACAGGGTGTAGTTAATTTATATTCTTATACAGATACACGGTGTACTTAATATACAAACTATACATACTTTTACAGTTTGTGTCTACTCTATATACATAATTATACATATATAGGGTGTACTCAATAAAAATACTTATATAGACACAGGGTGTACTCAATATACATACTTATACAGATACAGGGTGTACTCAATTTACATACTTATACAGATACAGGGCGTACTCAATATACATACTTATATATATGTACAGGGTGTATTAGAAATGAAAAATGTATCATGAAATTAAATTAAAGTGTACGAAAACCTCCAACGGAAAAAACTATTAATTTTCTTTTACATTAATATATTTTACAATCAACGTATGTCTGAATATAAACAGGAGCAGTTGGATTGAAATTTATTCAATAAACAGTTAGAAATTTACTTTCCATTTCCTTCCCCCCCCCCCCTCCCCTCCCCTCCCTCTCCTTCACCCTTTCACGAGGAGCAACTGTTGCACGCTCTTTGCCCAGCAGGTATGACCCCCTCTGCGCCCCCCTGACTCCCCTCCCACACCGCACGTGGCACTCAAAACAATTTACCCCCTAAAGTGGTCATTGTGCATATTTTATAATACCCCCACCCCTCCTCCAACCCCCCTCCCTTCCATTTAGACCCGAATCTATAATGTTTCAAAATTTCATATTCCTAAAAATTCTTACTTAAACCAATTTAACACCTAATTGTTTAAAATTCCTCTTTTTGATTGAACTAAAAGATCTTGTTCTTGACCATTTAAAGACTAAAAGTTTCAATGATGATTTCATAATCCTAATTTCTTTTCTGAATCATCCCCAGCTTTTTTCTATTCTATGTCCAGGCCATTCTTTCATCTCAAATCTGCCATAAGGAATGATTTAAAGAGGTTTAAAACGAAAGAAAAGCTTTAATTTCTTACTTTTTTACTGAGATATAATACCATAGATACATATTCTGAACCTTTAGAAAATATATAGAACTGGAACTTAGCACGCGATACCCTTTAATATTCTATATAAACTTATCTATCTATCTTTTATCTATATAGAAATCTACATAAATCTATTTTTCTCTTTCTTTCTATCTTTACATTTCTAACTATTTATATTTATGTTTATAAAGGAATTGAGTCTTTTCCACAAACTCAAATTTTTAAACCTCTATTTCTTTTCAACCTAATAGCGTAATACTTTGATATTTCAAACTTAGACTTTTTGATCTAACAGAATGCATAGTTTGAAATATCTAAGGTCTACGACATTTGGTTGAGAAGATATAAAAATTAGAAAATACGATTTTGTTGCAAAAACTCATTTCCTTAGCCTTGCAATTATAAATAAAACCAAGAAAATTGAAATTTAGATGTACAACACAAATTATATCTATCTATTTATCTATCTATCTATCTATCTATCTATCTATCTATCTATCTATCTATCTATCTATCTATCTATCTATCTATCTATCTATCTATCTATCTATCTATCTATTCATCTAACTATCTATGAAAGTATGTATATGGTATTCTAAAATATAGAGCAGAAATACTGGTATACTGGTACAGCAGGGGGTACACTGACCACTCCAGTTTAATAAACACGATGCGGAAATCTATAAATCTGTTGGGTGCAACAAAATAAAAATCATTGAAGGATTAAATTTTTGTGATTTTGGGTAAGAAGTGGTTTAAAGAACAATTTAATTATTTAAGTTTCTAAAATTTCCGTAGTGTGGAAATTGTTTGATTTTATTTATTGTAGAATGTCTAAATATACAAAATGTAATTACTATATAGTTCAAAGAAATTCATATTTTAATAAAAAAAAATATAGGAAATACCGAGCTAGTCGTACATTTAACATTTTTATCGTTTTTTTTTCTCCAAAGGAATCGAGTTTTTGCCACAAACTCACATTTTCTAATTCTTATATCTTCACAATATGATGGTGTAAACCTTTGATATTTCAGACTTAGACTAATTGATCCAACAAAATTCATAGTTTGAAAAATCAAAAGTCTACAACATCGGGTTCAAAAAATCCGGGATTAGAAAATCTGAGTTTGTGGCAAAAACTCAGTTCCTTTATTTGCTTTAACGAATAGAATTTGGGGCAATTATGTTAAACATTTGCCAAATGCTCTACCAATTGTTAGATTAGAATTAAACATTTGTTTTGAAATCACTGATCCAGGGCTACAAAAAAGTATAATAAGTTGGCTAGAACGAAGACCCGAAAACTCTGAAATAAAAAGACGACTTGTAGACTCAAGTTATGACTTTAAATAGTCCAATGAGCATGGGGCATTGAAATTGAGCAGTTTAAACAGACTAAATTCACTTAATTATTAATTTAATTATTGTCTTATAAACTATTTGCTTTGTAACAACATTAAATACACTTAAGTATTGCTATAAAGCTAGTCGTCTTCCTTTTCCAGAGTTTACTGGTTATCACTGTAGTTTGAATATTCCCCTAACATTACATTCGTAACATCGAACAATCGAAAGCAATTCGATCTTACAGAATTTTTTTGGAAATTACAATTGGAATATTTGAGATTTTACAAAATTTAAGATTT